CACACACACACACACACACACACACACACACACACACACACACACACACACACACAAAGGATTGGTGGAATTCCCCCAGGGGTTTGTGTGTGGAGATGCTTTGTGGACAAGTCAATGACTGCAGAGTTTCTGATGAATAAAAAAGCAGAAATGGATGATAAGAAAAAAAAAAGAACAGAGGATCTGTTAGAAAAGGGAAAAGTCAACATGTCACTGAGCTGAGATGGGGTTTCCTCCTCTGGACCGGAGGCGCCGAGCATCCCCGACATTTCTCCCTGAACAGTTTGTGACGGAGAGAAGAGAGCTGGCTCTGCTCCACAACACACCTCAGAGCAAATCAGTTTGGTGACAAAGCATTATCCTCTTCATTTACTGGGGAAGAGGCCATTACACCGAGACAATCAAGCACAGCTGCCTCATGGAAAGAGTCATTTCAATTTTGTTTATGCAATTTCCAAAATAAATTTAAACTGCYGAATGAGACTACATTCACACAGGCCGAAATAAGAAATGAGCTGAAGACAGGTTGCTTATTCAAGAAGCTAAAAACTGTTTTAACAAATAACATCCCTGAAAAAATGTGATTTAAAGGGAGAATTGTTTCTACAAAAACAAAACATTAAGTTAAACGTAGTCTCATTAAATTATGCAGAAACAAGGATTGAGCCTGATTAAAGCAAAACTATAACTAGCTGCAGCAGAACAGTGGCTAAATTCTAAAATTAGCAACCGTTTGGTAATTTTATCATTTAGTAAAGGTATCCTGATACCAGTTTTCCTCAAACTGAATATGAGTACTTCAGTTTGAGTACTGATACTACCAGTACTCGGTACTTACTAATGATGGTTCCATCAAATTATAAAGCYAATCAACCAGGCTATGCAAAGCGTAATATCGTCAGGCGTTGACGTTATGCATGGCTGTAGTAAACAGGAAGTAGAGGTTGTAAACTTTCACCACACATGTCGGACGGTGAAGAGAAGTTTTTAGGAATGTGTTGCTGTCGAGCAAGTTGTCATTGTTCTGTCATATCAACAAGTACTGGTGATGCTACATGCTGTCTGCGGACGTAGAGAAAGAACAGCTGATCCACATGTGAGGTAAACGTTTGCAAAAGGGGAGATGGAAACATTTTGCCAAAAAAAATATTTTTTGAAAAATCAAAAGCAGCACCTCAAGTGAGCGTAAAACCATTTTTTTTGTGAAACTGAAAGTTTTTTTTTTCGAATTTTGCCGTTTCCTGCAACACTTCAAAAGACATAAATGATGGAAGCAAACGTTACACAGATTTTATTATTTTCAAAACACATTTATTTTATTTAGAACAAGGCGTAACTCCTTTATAGTTCTATGGCACCTTTGACTGAATCAAATCAAATTTACGGGATGATCTTTCAGCTTGCGTAAATTTCTTATACATGGTTCTGACAAAATGTTCACTTGGAAAGTAAACTGATTGGTATTGGTTTAGGGCAGAGGTGACCAAACATTCTCCCCAAGAGGGCCAAAATGAAATTCTATCCGGAGCTGGAGACCAAATGCAGTAATAAAATACATGAAATACAAATACTTTTTAGATAAAATTCTGTATTTTTAACGATTAAGCCTGCAGCCAGTGTGGTGGCCCACTTTGTGCACTCGGAGAAAGTCTGCTCAAGCAGCAAAGACTCAGGACATTTCARAAATTGATAAAATAGGGTTTCTTGGCCTTATAAAATGTGCAAATCTACATGTGTGGTTAAATCTAATCTAAATATCTCTCATTGTTACTTGTATTTCATGTTTCATGTTTAATCTCAACACATCAAAGATAAAGTCAGCACCATGAAAACTATCTGCAATCCCTTATATAGTCATTGGGCCAATGGATAAAATGACTTAAGTGGAAATACTGTGTTTCTACATAGGATGACAGGTTGACATGACAACTGCTGGTGGGCCAAATCAAATAGCTTGGCGGGCCAAATTTGACCCGTGGGACCCAATTTGGGCTCCTCTGGTTTAGGGTATTGGAGCAGATACTGGTATCTGATCAAAACTGTCGCTAAATGATAAATGATTGTCCAGAGGGGACTCGAGTCAGAACTTGGACTCCAGTTAGACTCGAGTCATTAACATTGAGACTTCAGACTTCACTTCAAAAAATGTTCAGAGACTCGACCCTGTTTACTTGAAAAGACTTGATATTTTACCCCATATCTAAACTTTCATTCACATTATTTATAAAGTGGAGCTCATTAATTATTTTCACTCATTCTGTATTAACAAAGGCAGACTGTCCATCTGTTTTTTACACTCTGTACATGRTTGTGTGTGAGCTGCAGCTCAGCAAATCAAATTAACCAGTTTAAAAATGGGAAATTACAGTTTAAAGACTATTTTTGCTGAACTGTGCAAATAGAGGTGCAATTTAATTAAAAAAAATACTTTGTAAGTTCAGCTGCATGTTTCATCACGATTTTAGATAAAAGC